ATTATGAAATTTTAGTCAATACATTTTGATATGATAAAAAAATCATGTTAAAAGTAACATAACTTAACTGTGAAGTATATCATGGATAAAATGACTCGTAGGCTATAATAATATAACATTTAGCTCATGTAGTTGGTGACCTAAAGTGGGGGGGGGGGGGGCCCTGCAGTAACTCATAGCCCCGGGGCCCAGTGAGCTCTTAAAGGACAACTCCGGCGCAAAATGAACCTTTAGTCTAATTACACATTGTTACCTAGTCAACCGTTATCTGAGATTTGTTTTCATGATTGCCGAATGTAAATAGTTTTATCTCTAAAAACAGTTTAGCCTATAACGCTAGTATAATGCTAGTATATAGGGCATAGAGTAATGACAAATAAAAATCGCTTGTTATTACCCCTAAAAAGGCTCAAAATAGCCCCATACCAACACGACACCATAATAAGGGTCCCTACATTCAAAACGAAGCATTGAGAACTTTGTCAGTGTCCATACAGTTTAATAAGAAGATATTTTATACACACAGTAAATTTCGCGAATACAGGAAGAAGCCATCTTGGAAAAATAGTCTCTACCAGTAGATCTACAAACGCCGATCCAAGTGCGCTGGTGAGATGTGAATAAGGTGATAAAGTGAGCGCGAACAGTAGGCTACGTGTACATATTGAAGACAAATAAACGGTTTGTGTTTGTGTTTCTTCTGGAAACAACGGACCATATGAGATTCTGCACAGTTCAGCGCACTTGGATCGGCGCTCGTAGATCGACTGGTAGAGACTATTTTTCAAAGATGGCTTCTTCCTGTATTCGCGAAGTTGACTGTGTGTATAAAATATCTTCTTATTAAACTGTTTGGACACTGACAAAGTTCTCAATGCTTCGGTTTGAATGTAGGGACCCTTGTTATGCTGTCGTGTTGGTATGGGGTATTTGAGCCTTGTTGGTGGTAATAACAAGCGATTTTTATTTGTCATTACTCTATGCCCTATATACTAGCATTATACTAGTGTTATAGGCTAAACTGTTTTTAGAGATAAAACTATTTACATTCGGCAATCATGAAAACAAATCTCAGATAACGGTTGACTAGGTAACAATGTGTAATTAGACCAAAGGTTCATTTTGCGCCGGAGTTCTCCTTTAATACGGCCCTGCCTGGAGCAGGAGCGAGTGAACGGTGCGCCCTTTCAATTTCGAGATTAAGATCAGAAGAGAGGTCGAGCCATTTCGGTATCATTTCTCTCAGAAATTGAGCGAGCGGAGTTGATCTCTCAGCTTTTTCGGGTAGACCAACAATGCGAAGATTTTTGCGTCTTCCCAGTAAACACAGAACGTTCCCCTAACGTTCCTATATGGTTCCCATTTGGTTATTTTTTTGGGAACCAAATAAGAACGTTCTAAGAACGTTCTCTGTAGGTTTTTTTTTAATAACCTAAAGAGAACGTTCCGGGAACGTTCCCTGCAGGTTATTTTTAGATTTAATTTTATAACCTAAAGAGAACGTTCCGGGAACGTTCCCTGCAGGTTATTTTTAGGTTTAATTTTGTAACCTGAAGAGAACCTTCCAGAACGTTCCCTGCAGGTTATTTTTAGGTTTAATTTTTATAACCTAAAGAGAACGTTCCGGGAACGTTCCCTGCAGGTTATTTTTAGATTTAATTTTATAACCTAAAGAGAACGTTCCGGGAACGTTCCCTGCAGGTTATTTTTAGGTTTAATTTTGTAACCTGAAGAGAACCTTCCCAGAACGTTCCCTGCAGGTTATTTTTAGGTTTAATTTTTATAACCTAAAGAGAACGTTCCGGGAACGTTGCCTGCAGGTTATTTTTAGGTTTAATTTTATAACCTAAAGAGAACGTTCCGGGAACGTTCCCTGCTGGTTATTTTTAGGTTTAATTTTGTAACCTAAAGAGAACATTTCCAGAACGTTCCCTGCAGGTTATTTATAGGTTTAATATAATAACCAAAGCTCTCTGTGAAAGTCCAGTTTACAGTTGAATATTCAACGACAATAATGTTATTTGATATAATCAATAGGCTACTGCTTTCATATTCTATTTACAAAGCACTTTCAGGACATCTTTATTGTATGTATATATTTACGTGCTGCATGATTTTGACGTGGTCAATCATTAATGCCGTGCACGTGAACTTTCGAGTCTCTCAAATACTGGAGCGGCCGGTGTTGTGCCGAATTCCGACTCCCTGCCAGAATCTGACTCCCCTCGCGAGCACGCGCATGACGTCAATTTGTGCCGCCGCCACTTGCGAAAACAGACCAGACGACGTAAGAAATTACATGATAGAAATTTGTTTGTTGATTTTTGATCATGTATTTATTCTTTTTTTCCCTCTTTGATCATATATTTGACCAAACTCGTATGATTTACAACTCGTATGATTTACAACTGTCAGATTTTTCGCTTGTAAAGTGTTTTTACTACAGTATTGTAAAACAGTGTTTTTTTGGGGTTTTTTTTAAACACTACAGTGTTTTTTGTCGTAAAACAATTAGTTTCGTAAGGGTACACCTAAACATGAACATCATTACTAAATGGAATGCTGACATATGTCATTTGACTTTGCTGCCTGCACACTTTCTATAGCTATAAAAACTACAGTGCTGCAAAAACATACTTCCCTATGTAAAATAATAATTATTGAACCTCCTCACTTGTGCTTTTAAAATACTTGGTAACACTTTAAAATAATGTTCATTAGTTAACATTAGTAAATGCATTAATTAAACTAACATGAATTAATGATGAGCAATGCATTAGTTACAGTGTTTATTAATCTTTGTTAATGTTAGTTAATATAAATACAGCTGTTCATTGTGCGTTCATGTTAGTTCACAGTGCATTAACTAATGTTAACTAATACAACCTTTGATTTTAATAATGTATTAGTAAATGTTGGAATTAATATTAACTAAGATTAATAAATGGTGAAGAAGTATTGTTCATTCTTAGTACATGTTAACTAATGTAGTTAACTAATGTTAACTAATGAACCTTATTGTAAAGTGTTACCAAATACTTATTATTCAACCTGCACACTTTTTCTGCCAGGTAGTCTACAGGATGAGATGAGTCTCCAGAATGAGTGTCTTGTGTCTCTGACCCAGCTAAAGTGATCCCAGAGTGGGGGGTGTGAATTCGGCAGGGCTGCCAAAATCATACCCCCCTATGTTAAATACTTACAATTGAATTTAAATTAATACAGTTTTTTTTACAGGTAGTCTACAGGATGAGATGAGTCCCCATAATGAGTGTCTTGTGTCTCTGACCCAGCTAAAGTGATCCCAGAGTGGGGGGTGTGAATTCGGCAGAGCTGCCAAAATCATACCCCCCTATGTTAAATACTTACTATTGAAACTACACACTTGTGCTTTTCTGCAGGTAGTCTACAGGATGAGATGAGTCTCCAGAATGAGTGTCTTGTGTCTCTGACCCAGCTTAAGTTATCCCAGAGTGGGGGGTGTGAATTCGGCAGGGCTGCCAAAATCATACCCCCCTATGTTAAATACTTACTATTGAATTTAAATTAATACAGTTTTTTTTACAGGTAGTCTACAGGATGAGATGAGTCCCCAGAATGAGTGTTTTAGGTCTCTGACCCAGCTAAAGTTATCCCAGAGTGGGGGGTGTGAATTCGGCAGAGCTGCCAAAATCATACCCCCCTATGTTAAATACTTATTATTGAAACTACACACTTGTGCTTTTCTGCAGGTAGTCTACAGGATGAGATGAGTCTCCAGAATGAGTGTCTTGAGTCTCTGACCCAGCTAAAGTTGTTAGGGAGGTTCAGACAACAGGACCCAAGAGCAGATCAATTTAGAACAGGATTTATTGTCAAAACGTTGAATGAAAACAATAAAAAAGAACATAAAATTATTGACAGGCTGGGGTCAAAATCAGTAGCGGACCAACAGTATGAAGGATGAAGAGAACTGATAAAATAGTTTTAAAAATTGTGAATATGAAAATTTGTTTGGCTCTTACCTTGGAGGACAAAAAGTGTTGGCCTTTTTTCTAAAATTAGATTTTTCCATTTTGGAATACCCATCAGAGTACGAACCATTTGTTTTATAATTTAATATTTTCTGATAGATGTCGGGATCCATGTTTAATCACTGAACAAATCCAATGTCAAGTAACGTCTGCAAGTTAGTGGGGTGAGTGATTGGCTGGGTGGGTTTACGTCAAGACAACAGGAAATAATTTTCACAAATATAAAATTATTCAAAAGAAGTATACAATAAGAAAAATTATTTCAATTATTGGGAGGAAATTCCTTGGATCTGGATATTTTTTGTTTAACCAACACAAAACAAGACAGTTGTAAAAAGAAAAAGCTTTTATTAACAAAAGATACTACAATACCACTAAAAAAATATAATACAATAAAACTGCTAAATAGAACTTCAATGCACAAGGACGATAAATATGGAGTATTGAAAGTAAAAAAAACAAAAACATGTGAACTATGTATGGTAGAATGAAATCTGATTGGTAATAGGGTGTAAAATATCTGATGTCTAATTTAAACAGCAACTGAATAACCATTTTTAAAAAGAAATCTGAAAAACTGGTATGTTAAATCATAGGCAGTTAACATGAACATACACAATCTACACCAAAAAGAGGGTTGGTTAGTCAACGGTCAAGTTCCATGCAGTCGCATTAGTAGTCTGGTGATGGCAACATAATCGACTGGTAAGGTGTGCTGCAGTGGAGTAGTCAGAGGTGTCCATGCTCATGCATGACCTGTCAATCACATGCTATATCTGTATGTCCTTGTGAGTTTTATTGTTGCTCTGGCCTGAACCTCAAAATGAGAGTATATGGGGTTCGGTGGTACAAGTCTGATACTGAGGTCTCACTTCTTGCTTTTTTTTGTAGTTAGTTGGAATTGGATAAGTGTGATAAGTGAATAATCCACACACAAAAAAAAAAAAACATTTTCTTATTAATTTATATTCAATAATAAGTATTTTAGATAGGGGGGTATGATTTTGCCTGGCAAAATTCACACCCCCACTCTGGGATCACTTTAGCTGGGTCAGAGACCTAAAACACTCATTCTAGGGACTCATCTCATCCTGTAGACTACCTGTAAAAAAACTGTATTAATTTAAATTCAATTGTAAGTATTTACCATAGGGGGGTATGATTTTGGCAGCCCTGCCGAATTCACACCCCCCACTCTGGGATCACTTTAGCTGGGTCAGAGACACAAGACACTCATTCTGGAGACTCATCTCATCCTGTAGACTACCTGCAGAAAAGCACAAGTGTGTAGTTTCAATAATAAGTATTTAACATAGGGGGGTATGATTTTGGCAGCCCTGCCGAATTCACACCCCCCACCCTGGGATCACTTTAGCTGGGTCAGAGACACAAGACACTCATTCTGGAGACTCATCTCATCCTGTAGACTACCTGTAAAAAACTGTATTAATTTAAATTCAATAGTAAGTATTTAACATAGGGGGGTATGATTTTGGCAGCCCTGCCGAATTCACCCCCCCCCCCACTCTGGGATCACTTTAGCTGGGTCAGAGACACAAGACACTCATTCTGGGGACTCATCTCATCCTGTAGACTACCTGTAAAAAAACTGTATTAATTTAAATTCAATAGTAAGTATTTAACATAGGGGGGTATGATTTTGGCAGCCCTGCCGAATTCACACCCCCCACTCTGGGATAACTTTAGCTGGGTCAGAGACCTAAAACACTCATTCTGGAGACTCATCTCATCCTGTAGACTACCTGTAAAAAAACTGTATTAATTTAAATTCAATAGTAAGTATTTAACATAGGGGGGTATGATTTTGGCAGCCCTGCCGAATTCACACCCCCCACTCTGAGATCACTTTAGCTGGGTCAGAGACACAAAACACTCATTCTGGAGACTCATCTCATCCTGTAGACTACCTGTAAAAAAACTGTATTAATTTAAATTCAATAGTAAGTATTTAACATAGGGGGGTATGATTTTGGCAGCCCTGCCGAATTCACACCCCCCACTCTGAGATCACTTTAGCTGGGTCAGAGACCTAAAACACTCATTCTGGAGACTCATCTCATCCTGTAGACTACCTGTAAAAAAAACTGTATTAATTTAAATTCAATTGTAAGTATTTACCATAGGGGGGTATGATTTTGGCAGCTCTGCCGAATTCACACCCCCCACTCTGGGATCACTTTAGCTGGGTCAGAGACCTAAAACACTCATTCTGGGGACTCATCTTATCCTGTAGACTACCTGTAAAAAAACTGTATTAATTTAAATTCAATAGTAAGTATTTAACATAGGGGGGTATGATTTTGGCAGCCCTGCCGAATTCACACCCCCCACTCTGGGATCACTTTAGCTGGGTCAGAGACTCAAGACACTCATTCTGGAGACTCATCTCATCCTGTAGACTACCTGTAAAAAATTTTTATTAATTTAAATTCAATAGTAAGTATTTAACATAGGGAGGTATGATTTTGGCAGCCCTGCCGAATTCACACCCCCCACTCTGGGATCACTTTAGCTGGGTCAGAGACACAAGACACTCATTCTGGAGACTCATCTCATCCTGTAGACTACCTGCAGAAAAGCACAAGTGTGTAGTTTCAATAGTAAGTATTTAACATAGGGGGTATGATTTTGGCAGCTCTGCCGAATTCACACCCCCCACTCTGGGATCACTTTAGCTGGGTCAGAGACACAAGACACTCATTATGGGGACTCATCTCATCCTGTAGACTACCTGTAAAAAAAACTGCATTAATTTAAATTCAATTGTAAGTATTTAACATAGGGGGGTATGATTTTGGCAGCCCTGCCGAATTCACACCCCCCACTCTGGGATCACTTTAGCTGGGTCAGAGACATAAGACACTCATTCTGGAGACTCATCTCATCCTGTAGACTACCTGGCAGAAAAAGTGTGCAGGTTGAATAATAAGTATTTGGTAACACTTTACAATAAGGTTCATTAGTTAACATTAGTTAACTACATTAGTTAACATGTACTAAGAATGAACAATACTTCTTCACCATTTATTAATCTTAGTTAATATTAATTCCAACATTTACTAATACATTATTAAAATCAAAGGTTGTATTAGTTAACATTAGTTAATGCACTGTGAACTAACATGAACGCACAATGAACAGCTGTATTTATATTAACTAACATTAACAAAGATTAATAAACACTGTAACTAATGCATTGCTCATCATTAATTCATGTTAGTTTAATTAATGCATTTACTAATGTTAACTAATGAACATTATTTTAAAGTGTTACCAAGTATTTTAAAAGCACAAGTGAGGAGGTTCAATAATTATTATTTTACATAGGGAAGTATGTTTTTGCAGCACTGTAGTTTTTATAGCTATAGAAAGTGTGCAGGCAGCAAAGTCAAATGACATATGTCAGCATTCCATTTAGTAATGATGTTCATGTTTAGGTGTACCCTTACGAAACTAATTGTTTTACGACAAAAAACACTGTAGTGTTTAAAAAAAAACCCAAAAAAACACTGTTTTACAATACTGTAGTAAAAACACTACACAAGCGAAAAATCTGACAGTTGTAAATCATACGAGTTGTAAATCATACGAGTTTGGTCAAATATATGATCAAAGAGGGAAAAAAAGAATAAATACATGATCAAAAATCAACAAACAAATTTCTATCATGTAATTTCTTACGTCGTCTGGTCTGTTTTCGCAAGTGGCGGCGGCACAAATTGACGTCATGCGCGTGCTCGCGAGGGGAGTCAGATTCTGGCAGGGAGGGCGGAATTCGGCACAACAGGGGTATTCACAATGTTTTCTCTTCAAAATTGAAATTTTACTGCCACCATTAAAACAATTTATAACGGAAACTGTTTACCCACTCGACATTATACAAGGGCTAACGTTGTAACGTTAGTGACAGTCGTAAATCCCGAGCTGTTTATTCCAGTGGACGCAAGTTACAACTAAAACAATAGAAGGCAATGGCGCAACGTTAACGCTACCCAGCAACAGCACGTGCAAGCGAGGGAGTCAGATTCTGTCAGGGAGTTGAAATTCGGCGACTAGTGTAATGACGTCATTGCGCGTGCACGCGAGGGGGAGTCGGATTCTGGCAGGGAGTCGAAATTCGGCACAACACCCCGAGTCGACTGCCCCTGTCTGGTGCCGTACGGTTTACACGGATTTCCTGGGCGAATACAAGACGCGGACATTCGCGTATAATAACAATTATTTAATGACATAAGTAAAAAAATATAATAAATGTGTGATATAGTGATCAGCAAAATCTCCTCTCTTGTTATTTTTTCTATTCAATTTACATGCTATGGTCATTAAATGGCTTTCCTGAGCTGAATGTAACGTTATGTGACATAATTGTTCTCCTGCTGTTATATTGACTTCTTTCCATGGTTTAAAAACAGTAGTTGGTCGATATTATGTATACTTTCTAGCTGTAACGTTACCTTACCCATGCCCGTTGCAATGTAAAAATGAGATAAATAATGGACACAAATGAAAAACATGAAATTGTTTATTTGATTTCATTTATTTATTTATTTATTGTTGCCAAATGGACAGATCTTTTTTTAGTTTCCTCGGTAGCAAACGTTAGCCTAGCTTGCTTGCCAAGCTATTTTCATAAATAATCTGTAAGATCGTTTGTACCTTCATCTGTGACTGGAGGCCAATGTCTAACATCATCAACCCAACAAGTCTGCCTGGCTGTAGCTGTCATCAAGGGTGCGTTATCACCTTATCTCCGAGGTTTGTTTACATACTGGTGCATATGTCTATGCCGGTGTAACAGCTCAGTAATGGCGTCGCTACAAGATGGGAGCCTACACAAGAACGCTCGTCGGATTCGTCTATAAGCTTGGTGCGACTGTTTTATTTTTCGTCTGTTAGCGTTACTTTAGTTAAAGTTTGGTGTCTTTTTTTTCTTTTCTTTTTTTTACAGGTGTTTAATAATAAATATAATGATCAGTGTTTTCCAGAAAGTGTTGCAAAAACTAATCACTAATCACTTTAAATTCAGCAGGTGCTGTGTTTAAAACTTACAGTGATGTTATGTGTCACTGCATAAATACATATAATTTATCATTTCACTTCCTATTTGTATGCATTTGTTATTTATTAATTTGCACGCTCACACACGTACACACAGAGAAACACTAAATGCAGACAGGAATTACAGGTGTGGAAACTATAGATGAAAAGTAAAGGATTTTGTTTTTTTCCTTTTTTATTAAATGCATATCAAATGACAAATAATAAACATGACAATTAATCTAACACATAGCTATACAAATGTAGTCAACAACAAATAGTAAAAAAACGTATACAATCTAAAATAATAATAGCCTACAAGTAAAAGAAAGACAAAATGATATAATGATATAAACAGAAAAAGGAACAGGTATGAGATCATCATATAAACAGCATTAAAGCTTCACATGGAGACTCATTTTGTTTGGCTATTTTATTGAATCCAATTAGGCCTATAGTAACTCAATACAATTTGTCAGTTTCCTTCAGCTCATTTTTGTTCATATAGTATTTACCCATAATCAAACAAACATTAACAATAAGGCCACATTTGGTGTTAATCTTTATATATCAAAATATAAAAAACAAAAAATATTACAAAGCAAACATATGAGCAGTAAAGTAATTGACTGCCGCGTATAGTGACTTCATTATATGCACACAAGGGGAGTCAGATTCTGGCAGATTTTTTTCTTTTTTTTTATCACCAAAATGCAGTTAATCATGTTGGAAACAGAAAGTAAGCACCATCAAAGTCAAACTTTTTGAAAGTCTAAGAATAAAATAAGGTGTTGTTCATCATCTAGAAAGTCTTTGTCTTCAATCAGATCCAAAACTGCGAATGTTATTGGCTATGTGACGATCTTTCACGAAACCAGATCGGCATTCATCAATTAAAGTGTGTAAATGATTTAATTTCTTCTTTTTTCCATGTTAAAGAAATATCTGCTGTTTTTCTCACCCTGTTCCATCCAATTCCTCCGAGACGTTATAAAAGCTCCTTTTGCTTTGTTCTCATATAAATGTCTAGTTGGATTTGTAAGTCTAATAAGGCATTATTATCTTCTTGGCTCAAATGCTCTTTTTTTAGCAAGTTTGTTAATATTGTTGATTAGTGTGTGTGTTACACTTTTCTTTGTGTGGGCCAATGTCTTGCCATAACCTGAGCAGACACCTCTAATTTTATATTTGAGAAGTTTATATCCACGATATCCCAAAATGATTCCCTTTTCTCGCCGCCTCCCACTGTTCTGAGGTCAGGAGATCTATTTTCATGTTTATCTCTTCATGAGAAAGTGAGAATGATTTAATTTTTGGCATAAGATACTGTGGCAGGAGTCATTTGGCTGAATAATAAACCAACATTAATCACATGTTTCTAATACACATGCTAACACACACGCTGCTTTATTTAATAGTAAAGTCTGAGTCTCTTCCACCTGTATGAAACACATTTACACATGTATTTCTCCTCATAGACAGCAGTGAGACTCTTCTGTGGATCACCTGATGATTTCTGCTCCTCTCATCTCCGTTTCACAGATTTAAACTATGTAAAAAGTCTTCTAATCTTGGTAAATAGATCATCATCATCTGCTCTGTAAAGTGGAACAGAAGAGAAAACAATCAGTGTTCAGTGGAACAAAGTACAAAATATTAGATTTCAATTACTGTTTTTGGGGTAAAAATGTTAAATTGAATTCCTGTAATCCATCGCCATATTTTGAAAAGTTTGGATCAATGAGCATTAAATAAAAGTCCATAACTGTCTTCTGTTCAAAATTTATATAATGAGCGAGTTCATCATGAATCCATCAATCCGTGTTTGTCTTATCCTAAACCACTATGGTCCACCTATAATAGGCGTTTACATTGGGACTATTTTACACTGGTTCGGGTCGCTGCCGCTGCGGAGTAGCCCAGTACCTGCGTGACTCGTCATAGACGTACACAGAGAGAAGTAGATCCGTCTACATCGTTCTTCCGAAAGATGCATTATTCTGTTAATAAACATTTATTATCACTCGCTATTGCGCCAAAAGCGTAAAAAATAAAGCCTCACAAATAACGTACAAGTATTGAGGCCCCAGAGAGCAGTCATTTAGTAATAGGTTACATTCTTTCATTTTTACCAACACACCACTGTGAATATGTTTGTTTTTGCATTTCAAATAGGGCCAATATATAGTCTTCTCCTAGGCTTACATTTTTAAATTACAAAGGACCTACCGATGTTTTTGTTATTGTATTTTCAATATTATAGGGTATTATTTGTGCATAAACATATATGGTTATGGTAAACATAATGTTTGTTTGAAAACCACATATTTTGTCATCCTTGCTGCAAGCTTACAAGAGCTTAATATTTGATGATAATATCAAATATTAAGCTCTTGTAAGGCCCTAAAATATTTTCTTGGGAAAAAGGGGGTCTCAGACAAGAAAAGGTTGGGTACCACTGTTGTAATCAGGTTAATTCTTGACTTTACATGATCTTGCTAGTCTGGGTTTCCCATACTGCCTTCCTGCAGAGTGATTTTATTCAAGCTGAAAGGCAGTCTGGATAC